CTAAAGCTTTCATTCTGTTGAAGTTAACCTATTTTTTGAAGCTTATTTTTCTGATGCACTTCCAAAGTAACAAAACATTTTGAAGAAAACTTCATTGACAAAGTTGTTCAGAATAATGCCCTTCATACAGTTTTCTTCAAACTGCTTCGTTACTTTGGAAATGTATACATAAATTTCCAAAAATTATTTCGAGATGCAAAACTGTAACAGAAAGAAAAAGCTTTATTTTCTGAGGAACAGTTGATTAAATTTCACAATAACTTGGAGGTATGTATGAGTGTGCCGAATGTGCTCTATCGAACTGTGTAACAGTTACGAAAAGAATGAGCTCTATCAAATAGTACATTCTCTGTATACGACAAAAGTGCTAAAGTGTATGGAGAGGATATTAAAATGGCTGTATCTCCGGAAAGAAACGAAATGAAAAGACCAACGGTGTGGCCTAACGAAAAAAACTAAAAAAAGTCTTTTTTGGGGGACACGCTAATTTTCCTAATTTCGGACAACAGACGGGAAAATTTTTATTTCTTCATAGATTTACGTACTATGGCGAAAACCACAGATCTCTAGCTGTCTCCTACACCCCTGTCGTTTTTTGGAAAAGTTAGTCGTTCTTTGCCGCCCTAATACTAACGACGGAAGGTTCCTAACAGTCCGATCATTTTTTCTTTGAAAAAAGCTACATAACTAGAGGTAATAAATGATGCTGATTTCGAATCTAACAGTCTTCGATGCTGGTGTGACTCGGTGAGTTAGCTATATGTAAACGTTTTCGTTACTGTTATAACGGCGCTCTGACAACTTGATACTTTAAGACTAAAGTATCAAGTGGACATGGCACTTTCTCTTTTCTTTCCCAAAAAGATAACAACTTGAAAACAGACTTCCCTTTCCTTTGGAAAACGAGTTCGAGTGTCACATTAACTATGTCTACTGGTAATTTAGAATACTCTTGGTGGAGGTCTAGATCAAAACTTGCTGGTTATTTCTAAACACCGAGGCTGATAATCACTGCAATCTATACCGGGTCCTTCTTTCTTACTTATGCTTAGTTTGATGTAACTGTTGAGAAGCTTGTATTACTATTATTTATTGTTGGTTTTCTGTTTCTCTTTTCGTGATTGAATGTTGCTGGTATTGCTTAAATAAACGGACGCATATGCCAGTATTTTTTAATAAGGCGTTTAAATTCATTTCTAAACATTTTTGCTGACAATGTATAAACAATGATTACTAAACAATAATCTGTTGCTAGTGCGGTAAGTGACCAAAAATAAACAAAATTTTCAACAGCATTTTGTAATTGACTTTTTAATTTGTTCTGATAAAGTGTTATTGTCATATAGGTAAAATAAGTTGCATATGGAGTGTTTGATATAACATAAATTGATACCTAAAGCGGACGCGAAACGTTTAAAAGTAAACTTATTTTTGCTCTTTCTCGTGGACAATGGGATCTACAAAAAATCTGAGGCTATATTCGAGTTGAATGTGCAGAAATTATACATACGATGATAAGAATATTTTGTTTTCATGTTTCCAGTTGAGTCAAATGGTGTAACCATATCTTTCTATCGCGATTAGTAAGTGCCCTATCTAAGCCTTATTTTCAATCAATTATTATACAAAAAAATATGCCGCTAAACTTAAACACGTCCATGTAGAAATTGCAAAAGCTTTTTGCATGGTCACGCAAAAAAACGTGCAAAAGTATAAGTGGCGTAACACAAAAACTCTTTTCAAATGCGAAATTCTGCAAACTTTTGCATATTTGTTTAACGCAAAAACGTTTTCATTTTGGCGACATCGAGTACGTTATTATACAGGTGAATAGGGTGACACCTGTCTCATGCTAAAGATCTGACGTTGGTGCAGGAATGGCGGTGGTTATGATCGGGAGCTTGAATGCGGCTCGAGCAGTTTATAGACAGTTCGCAATTAGGACGGTAAGCGAAATTTTGCAACGCTTCTGTGCAAAATCACTCTTCAGCGTTGTCTCTTCCTAATCGAACATATCAACTTTAAATCAACAGTTACTGCTGCCTCACACATTCAGCGCATATTCACAAAATCAACCGATTGAAAAGGGACCGCTGAAAATCTAGAAAAGTGGAGCATGACCGGGGTCGAGCAGTTCTGATAACGTAGACGGAACCTGACATATTTTATATGTCTAATTCTTTGAGATAAGTATCCACTCATCACTGCCTACACTTGTCCAATCTTCATTTTAAATCTCATTCGCTCAAAGCGATTTCAAAACGAAATTACCATGAGCTCATTCTTAAACGGCAAAAACAGTTTATTAATTAAGCTGAAGTTTACGCTCATCCTCTACAGATAGATAGAGCAAGAAGAAAACATGTTTCGAAAGTGAAACAAGTTGCTGGGCAAAGAATCCTATTAACTTAGCTTATGTCCATTTCTTAGTTTCGCCTAACAATACGATATTCCCACTCATATTATGACTGTCAAAATAATATACGTTGTTCTCTTATCGCTTTTGTTGCCTTAAAGCCCTCGCCAACCTCTAGCTAGCGACCTGCGGTTTTGACAATCGAAAGAGGACATCAAGGAACACAAACCGATGCAAAAACGAAAAATTTCCAAAATAACTTTCATGTTATTTCTCCTAACTTTTCCGAGTTATTATAACCCGGAAAAGTTAGGAAAAACAGCATGTTTTCCGAAAAAAATTTGTTTTTTATGTTTTTCGACAGTTTTATAGAGCGAGAGGTCTTCTTTCGAATGGTATCTAAGCAACCCCTAAAATTTTGCTTTCTCGCCAAGGGTTTCGAAACGGGCCACTTTGTCGGAGACTTTCTCATTTTGGAACCGTAAAACGTCGGCACATAGGTAATCGAGTGCGCTGGTCATCGTGGTGATGTTACTTTTCGGGTTGGAGACATTTTTTACTTCCAAAAAGCCAAAGTCTCCGAAAAAGTGACCCGTTTTGAAATGCTTATAACTTGGCGAGGAAGCAAAATTTTGGGGATTGCTTAGATACCATTCGAGACCCTTCGCTCTACAAAACTGGCGAAAAAAAACAAAAACAAATTTTTTTCGGAAAACTTGTTGTTTTTCCTAACTTTTCCGGGTTATAATAACCCAGAAAGTTATTTTGAAAATCTTTTATTTTCGCACCGATCTGTGTCTCCTGATGTCCTCTTTCGATTGCCGAAAACCGCAGATCGCTAGTTATTTTTATTAAAAAGTTATAAGCGTTTTGCTGAATAGCCTTTTTTCAAAGAACCGATAATAATACGAATACTATCCTCAGCACCACATGTTGCCAATTATTCACGTTGAACGAAGAGTGTTGTTCGAGGACTCAATGAATAATATTTCAAATTTCGATAGGAATAGTCTATGCACTACCAAACGGTCATTTTCACTTTTAAATTAGTATAGCGATTAAAATTATATTATTGTCATATTTAGTTCCATAAAGAAATTATTAAATTGATAATTTTTCTTTATTCAAAACAGCTATTAGAAAAAAGGCTTCAAAACTTTCCTCTTCAATTTCAACTTCCATCTATTATAGTATTTTGTGATTTTCTGAACATTTTTATTCAAATTATTCTGGAAAATAAAGTTTAAATCTATAAAAGAGCAATAAACAATAGATACTAGAAAAACTGGCGTAACTTAAGAGAACATTCTCATCTTTTTGAGAACAGGATCAAAATGCCCCTGATTGGTAGTACCAGGTTAAACAGATTAATAAATAGTGGATGCAAGAACCAGCTAGTGGAAGAAGCCAAACAACTAAGAAAAAAGAATAATGTATAATTAGGAGATAAGTATTTTGTACAAGGACAAACCCAAGAAGAAAAAGAATCTAAGCTAGCACAAAGTCGCAGATCTGCAGACTATAACAAAATACCATTTAAGAGTCAGAAAAAGACGTGATGGAGGAAGAAGAAGTGGAACTCTCTCGATGGACGAGTGCTGTTCGATCGTAAAACGATAACGTCTTTACGCTGTAGCAGTCTTTTTTAGTTTGAATGCCGGAGAATTTCTATGGTTGTAAATCGTTAAGTCATAATGAGTCCGGACGTGCATGCGGCGGAGCGGCTAGAGTTAACTTCGAAAGAAAAAATATGATAAAACTTAAATGACATGCTAACTTTGGGAATCTCTCCGTTTTTCCAATATACTCTTGGACACAGACAAGGACAATGGTCACTGCGTCAATGCCAAGAGTCAAATTGTTAAATAATACATTATCGATTTTCAATGATACACCAGTGAAATGACTTTACATTGAAATCTGTTTCAACTTCTATGACCGGAGAACACTCAAAAAGAAAGTAATGGGTCCTTTCATCACCAGTCTTCACAAAATACATACTGATGAATGAATACGATAACACTTTAACAAATTGTAATTCAGTTAAGGAGATGAATAAACAGAATCTCGGCCATCCGATTACGAAATCTTAATACTTTTCTAACGATCTTAAACGGCCGCATTTCAATCAGTTGGATTTGTGAATATACCTTGAGTGTATGGGGCAGCAGTAATTGCTGATTGAAAGTTGACATGTTTAATTAGGAAGAGACAACGCTAAAAGATGGATTTTTCACGGAAGCGTTGCAAAAATTCTCTTACCATTCTAATTACGAACTATCGATGAACTGTCCAGACTTCCGATTATAACCATCACCATTTCTGCACTAAAGTCAAAACTTTTTACCATGCAATGAGTGAGATGTCACTATATGCACCTGTATGATCTCTTGATCAAGTTTAGCAGCATATTTATTTTTTATAATAATTGATTTAAAATACGGCGTGGTTCTGTCATTCTAATGAAGTATACTAACCCCCCACCATAGTGGTTCGCATACCGCACTTTTGGTAGAAAACTGCCCTACCCCTCCCTATATAGGTTTTTCAAAACTTTTCGTTTCTGACTAGACTTTTGTGATAGAGGGACTTTTATATGTTTTGTAGTTGAAAAGTTATGTCTATATTCCTGGAGACATGTAATTTAGAAATTTCCATATAAGTTCGCCATACATACTTGAATTAATATCATTGTTAATAATTGTCTGTTATGTTTTCTTAAACGAGCCTGTTTACTATTAATACTTTTAATCGTATCAGTATTTTCATGATGTATAACTCGTAGACGACTTTTTCTAATATTATTCAATGTTAAAAGACTAAATATCGTCATTAATGATGGAATTAATAAACCAGAACATACAAATATGTATGCTGAATAAATAATACTATAATAAGTTTCTATTGGTACGCAAGATATAAAAGTATCTTGTGAATGATAATAAAAAATAAATATATGTATTGATAATAAATGCCAAAATAATGCTATTATTAGTATTAATCGCTTTGCCATTTTTCTGTTATTTAGTTTTCTTAATGTAATATTCAATGAACTTAATGCATAACGATCTATACATGCCATGACAATATAACTTGGTGATAATATAAGTAATAGAGTTATAAAATATGTTCTTAAAGCACAATAGATTGCTGAATATCTGGCTGGCTCGATATTATAACCATAACTTAATATACGTGTTAATAATCCAAAATTTATAATGAATATATTTGTAAATGATGATGCTATTATATAGAGAGAGCATGAGTTGAAGCGTAATGAATGTTGTAATAATATTACCGGATTTAATATACATCCTATATTCCCAACAATTAATAGTACTATATAATATGTACGACTTATGAATTGTTGTATCGAACTCAATGTTAAAATAATATTCAAATCTTTTGCTGCTGATGATAATGTAGAGTTAGATAGGTTTACCATTGAAATAAAATTTAACAGTTTAAGTATACATAAGACAATAAAATATTTAAATAAGGAAACGTAGTGAAGTTGCTTTTGTCTAGCGTTCTGTCATTTGCCTTTAAAAGCAAAATACAATCAAGTTAATTCTCTATTAGTTACGGTGATGGAGAAAAAAAATAACGTAACACCATAATCTCGTTGTGTGAAAGAAAATCTTATAATTCTGTCTCTACAATAATGTACTGAAAAGAAATATAAATCCTTATAGACTTTTTGAAATTAATTAAAAATGCCACATTTTTTCAATCATTTATCGTATATACAAATTACATAGTTGACTTTTGAGCAATACTTGGCTGAATTACGAAATAGAAAAGATTTGATTAAAAGGGGGAAGATACTTTAATTTCGTGATAAATAATTTGAAGGTGGAGCAGCAGAAATAAATTTAGAAATAATTGAGTATAACACTGCTACAAAAAATATAATAGATTTTTAACAAAAATCAATTTATGGTTTATTCAAGCTTTCGATAAGAGACACTTATCATCATCAGGAAAAACAAAACTTCTACCGCTTATAGGAAATTAATGTACGCTTCAGAAAAACTTTTACAATCAAAAGTGTATTTCTACCCATCCAGAAAGAACTAGATGAATCAAAAAAGAAAAAGAAATTAGTATATAAGATACCATGCTTGAACTGTGAAAAATGTTACATTGGAGAAACCGGTAGAGAAAAGGAAACTAGAATGAGGGAACATCAATCGGACATC